ATTCCCATTTCATATAATTCGATATCAATGTACAAGTCGATAGTCAGAATTTGTCTAACGGACGTAACATCCTTTCTGAAAATGAAAATTTTCCAGTGTCATTTAAGGGCATTTTTGAATTTCCACGCCGATTGCTGCCAAATTTAAAACATGTCCGACTGTTTGAGGTGTTCTTGAAACTGTGTGAAATTTTGAAGAAGTGCTTGGAATCCGATTGCAGTCATCATATTCAGTTGTACCAAAGTTTAAAAATTCCATGAAAAATTCGATGTCTAATTTAATTTTTTTTATCAATTTAAATTTTCTTATTCAATTCCATTTTCTATTCAGAATGTTTTATTACCTGTGCCGTCTTTTCTTTTGAGCCATTGCTGAAAATTTATTCGTCGTCATATTCTTGTTAACGAAGTACTGAAACAAATAAAGTTGCCTAAATTTGCGGAAAGTCTCTAGTGAGTTCAATTTTTAAAATATTTTTTCATGTTACTTTCTGTATTCATAATCGCGTGAAATGTGGTACAGTTGAACCTCGCTAAGTCAAATACTCGAATTTTAACTCGAATTTTTTTTTTTCAAGTCCCTGTCTGGATTCCCATAGAAACAATGCATTAAAAACTTCCCTAACTTGAAGTATTTTTCTCTCAAACCTCTGTAAATCGAATTTTCTGAGGCCTCTTGGTTATTATTTACTTGAAATATGAAAGAGAAAATCAACAAAATAAATTAATTTATGCATATTGAAATGAAGTGAAAGACTAATTGAACAAATGAACCCCTGCCTACAAGGTTAGCAAGCTGTAAACTCATTAAGAAGCAAGTTTAGGCCCAGAATATCCACATCTACAATGTCCCATTTTCCTTGCAGCAAAAATATTAATTTCCTTTACTCAAAACCTCAAAAAATCAGAACCTCCCTAATAAGTCAAATTTTTTTCCTGGTCCCTAGAAATTCGACTTAAAAAAAGGTTCAACTGACTAAAAAGTTTGAAGTTACCTAAATTTGCGGAAATTTCCTTGCGTGCTTTGTTTTATTTTTCTACAGTACTTTTTCCCCGCATGAATACAGGAAGTAGTGAAAAGTGTGAAGTTGCCAAAATTTGTGGGAAGTCTCGTGTACGTTGAATTGCAATTTTAAATAAAGGTAATACAGTACTTCCTGTATTCATACTCGCGTGACTCATGTGGTACTAAAAAATTGGGAAATTGGTAAATTTGCGGAAAGTTCCGTTTAAGTTTCATTACTTTTTTTAAATACAGTATGTACTACAGTATACGAGTATTACTTCCCGCGTTCAAGCAAGTATGAATGAATGAAAAGTGTGAAGTTGCCGAAATTTGTGGAAAGTCCCATGTGTGGAGTTTAATTTTTTTTTTCATTTTTGCTCGACAGTTGAAAGTGCTGATGGCGTACAAGGCGCTCAAGTACTTCGACAAGATCGTGATGAACGAGCGCCAGCAGGGCTCACCGCCGCCGCCGCCGCCACAGCCGCCACTCGCCCCAGACCATCAGCAGCAGTCTTTCACTCTCGACTCCGCCAACCGGATCTACTTCGAGTCCTCCTTGTCCCAGTATCTCAACGGGGAAACGGCGGAACTGCTCAAGGACGAGATCCGCGTCGTGGACTTCCGGTCGCAGGCGGAAGTGACGCGTGGCAAGATCAACGATTGGGTGTCACGCGTGACGCGCGGCAAGATCCCCGAGTTGCTCAGCTCAGACGCCGTGTCGCCGGCGACCATCATGGCCCTGGTGAACGCGGCCTACTTTAAGGGCAAGTGGTTGAACCAGTTTGCCGCCGAGGACACGGACCCGGCCACGTTCATTCTGGACAACGCAGCCAGGGACATGATCACGGTGCCGACGATGAAGCTGCGAGACGCGCTGCTGCCCGTCGGTCGGTTTTCTTCTTTTTCTTTCTT